GAAGTGAGCTGTAGCTCACGAAAGCTCATGCTCAAATAAATTGGTTAGTCTCTAAGGTGCCACAAGTACTCCTTTTCTTTTTATGATTTAGGTAGAGTTTCAGTTTCACTTCTGAATACTTGCTGACAAGTCCCCTAATTTCAGTTTCCCTTCTCTATCTCGACTGATTCCAAGACATCTGCTTCTTTGCAGAATTAGCCCATCCTCTCCATTAATGTTAAAATAAGGCATAATCAAAGCAAGATGAACTATTCATGTCCAGGTGAAAATAATGCTACTGAATATATAGGGTGGTACATGATATCAACACCCATGTGAGATATTCTAATGCTAAGATTACTCATGTGAGCAGCTACAGGTGTGCCTTAGTGTTTCTAGGATTGGACCCTTTGGATGTACCTACTTTCCAAGAAGAAAAAGTAACAATTAGCTCTTTTGTGCTTCTTGTTGTAACATTAAAACAAATCTTTTCTCTCCATAATTCAATGTTTCCCTGCATAAGATCAGAAACTTGTTACTAACCTACCCCACAAAGGAGTTGCAAGAACTAGAGAGACAAGATAGAGACTCCACAATTAAGGACCAGATCCTGTAAATAATTATTCATCTGAGTAACCCCCTTACCCACATAAGTAGTCCCACTGAAGACCATGGAACTATTATCATGAGTAAGGACTACTCGTATAAGTAAGAGTTATCATGATCAGGCCCTAAAATTGTAACAAACTTTTGTTATAAGCCCCATTTTGCCCACTTAACTTCCTCAAAAAACAGACTATTCTATTGGAAATTTGAAAAGCAAAGTCAAGTTTTGCAAGTATAGCCACAAGAGAATTTACGGAAATTATGACAAAACACTTCTGAAATATGGGACTTCAAAAAATGGTATTCAACTTCTTGTAATTTCTCAAAAACACTTAATCAAAAAACATTACATTTATTATATTCAGTGGTCTTCAATTAGACCTCAACCATAGGACTATTTCTGATTATGTCAGCAGCAAAACCTTGGAGCTGTTTGCTGTGGACTTTTGAAACTCCATATGTGCTTTCAGGTTCTACTGAATTTAATAAACTTTCCTATACATTTGATGAACTTTATAAACTTTGCTGGCAAAGTTGGCAGCTTTGCCAGTGCAGCTGTTCCCACACCAGGAGCACTCTGCTGGTATATTATACCTATACTATACCAGTAAAGCTCCCCTAGTGTACACATAGCCTCTGTAAGGAAACCTGAGTTCCTGGAATTTACAAGCTCTGGCTCCACTTCTGAAAATGCTGATGTGAGAGATTAACATTTTGCACAGAACTGACTGCTCACATGCATAAAGTTAAGTGTGTTAAAATTAATAGGAAAGAAGCATTTGTTGGCAAAGTCAGCTGTTTGAATACAGTACTTAACTTTAAACTGAAGTTTGCATAGATGTCAAAGTAAGAAGTGGCGAAGAGTCCTGTGGCACCTTATAGACTAACAGACGTATTGGAGCATAAGCTTTCGTGGGTGAATACCCACTTCATCGGATGCCTCATCCTATACTGGAATTCAGGAAATCTGGGTTCTATTCCTGGTTTTGTCACTAGGCTGGTAGGTGACCTCACTTCACCTCGCCTGGTACCTCAGTTTTCCCATCTGTAAAATGAGGAGAATGATACTGACCTCTATTGTAAACTGCTTTGAGATCTGCAAATGAAATGCATGATATAAGAGCTAGCAGTTATTATTAGGGCTGTCAAGCGATTAAAAAAGTTAATCACGATTCATTGTGCTGTTAAACAACAATAGAATACCATTTATTTAAAATATTTTTGGATGTTTACTACATTTTCAAATATATTAATTTCAATTACAACAATACAAAGTGTACAGTGCTCACTTTTATATTACAAATATTTGCACTGTAAAAAACAAAATAATTGTATTTTTCAATTCACCTCATACAAGTACCGTAGTGCAATCTCTTTACCATGAAAGTTGAACTTACAAATGTAGAATTATGTAGAAAAAAACCAAACAACTACATTCAAAAATGAAACAATATAAACTTTAAAGCCAACAAGTCCACTCAGTCCTACTTCTTGGTCAGCCAATCACGCAGACAAAGTTGGTTACAATTTGCAGGAGATAGTGCTGCCTGCTTCTTATTTACAACGTCACCTGAAAGTGAGAACAGGCATTTGCATGGCACTGTTGTAGCTGGCATTGCAAGATATTTATGTATAAGATGCGTTAAAAATTCATATGTCCCTTTATGCTTCAACCACCATTCCAGAGGACATGGTTCCATGCTGATGATGGGTTCTGCTTGATAACGATCCAAAGCAGTGCAGACCAACACATGTTCATTTTCATCATCTGTGTCAGATGCCACCAGCAGAAGGTTGATTCTCTTTTTGGTGGTTTGGGTTCTGTAGTTTCTGCATCAGAGTGTTGCACTTTTAAGACTTCTAAAAGCATGCTCCACACCTCATCCCTCTCAGATTTTAGACAGCACTTCAGATTCTTAAACCTTAGGTTGAGAGCTGTAGCTAGTTTTAGAAATCTCACATCGGTACCTTCTTTGTATTTTGTCAAATCTGCTGTGAAAGTGTTCTTAAAACAAACATGTGCTGGGTCATCATCATCCAAGACTGCTATAACATGAAACATATGCAGAATGCAGACAAAACAGAGTAGGAGACATATAATTCTCCCCGCAAGGAGTACAGTCACAAATTTAATTGACCCATTATTTTTTTTTAAATGAGCATCATCAGCATGTCCTCTGGAATGGCGGCTGAAGCATGGAAGGGGTATACGAATGTTTAGCATATTAGCATGTAAATACCTTGCAACACCAGCTACAAAAGTGCCATGCGAACGCTTGTTCTCACTTTCAGGTGACGTTGTAAATAAGGAGCAGGCAGCAGTATCTCCCGTCAATATAAACAAACTTGTTTGTCTTAGCTATTGGCAGAAGAAGAAGTAGGACCAAGTGGACTTGGCTCTGAAGTTTTACACTTTTGTTTTTGAGTGCAGTTATGTAACCAAAAAAAAAAAAATATCTGCATTTGTAAATTACACTTTCATGATAAAGACATTACACTTCAGTACTTGTATGATGTGAATTGAAATACACTATTTCTTTCATCATTTTTACAGCACATATATTGGTAATCAAAAATAATAATATAAAGTGAGCACTGTGCACTTTGTATTCTGTGTTGTAACTGAAATCAATACTGAAAATGTAGAAAAACATCCAAAAATATTTAGTAAATTTCAATTGGTATTCTATTGTTATTAGTGTGATTAATCGCAATTCATTTTTTGAACCGTGATTCATTTTTTTGAGTTAATCGCATGAGTTAACTGCGATTAATTGATAGCCCTAGTTATTATTACTATCAGCAGCAGCATCTTGTACACTCTGTATCTCAGATCCAAGTGTGGAACAGACAGGGAGGAATCAGCAAATCCAGAAGAAAATAGGGTTGAGAAATGCATCTTTTCTCCGTTTCCTACAGTTTGTGCACATTCTCTCTCACTCAGCCACCTTCATTTAAAAATTAACCAATCTTTTGTTTGGAGATAACTGAAGGTAAGAATCAGATGTACTTGTGGCACCTTAGAAACTAACACATTTATTAGAGCATAAGCTTTCGTGAGCTAGAGCTCACTTCATCGGATGCATACAGTGGAAAATATAGTGGGGAGATTTTATATACACAGAGAACATGAAACAATGGGTGTTACCATACGGTAGCTCACAAAAGCCTATGCTTTAATAAATGTGTTAGTCTCCAAGGTGCCAGAAGTACTCCTTTTCTTTTTACGGATACAGACTAACACGGCTGCTACTCTGAAACCTAAGAATCAGATGACATTTTAAATCCAGACACTGCAAAAAATTAGCAGTAATGCAATTTTACATTTTCAAATCATACTGAATGACAGTTGTGGAGTGGAGGGAAATACAGGCCAGAGATGATTTCAGTTTTTAAGGCCCTCATCTGAAACATTCTTCCATCAGATACAGGGAATTCTGTTTTATCCTATAAGGATGAAGGGTTGAGTAGACCCCACCAGGTTTAGAACTTTGTGTTTCAGAGGGGTCTAAGTGTTTCGAATCTGATGTTTATATCTCTACGCCATTCCCTTTAGAAAACAGAAGACAGAATAAACTGTGAAGTAAGTAAGGCTCCTTCACGAGAGATCATCAAAAACAGGTGAGATCAAGCACCTGTGAGAGTACTCTAGAAATGATATTTTGCACTTGCACAGCACCTTCTCTCCAAGGATCTCACAGCAATTTACTAATTCTAATGAGTTAAGCCTTATGACATCCCAGTGATGTAGGAAAATATTGAGTATGGACTGAGAAGCAGAATGGTGAACTCTGTAAGACTTTGCTTAAGGTTACACACAGGAAGGTCCGGTAGATGATCCTGCTTCTTAGCAAGACAGGGGTTGGCTGGATATACAGAGAGGTCTTGACTAGGGTGCAAATCAGCCAAGGAAATCTAAGTATTTGATAAGGGAAGATCTCTCTCTTTCTGCAGCATCAGTAGCCTTTGAGATGCATCTAGCTCACTCGTGAGAGGGAAGGGGCAGCAGATATAGACCATCAAATCCTGCCTTAAATACGCCTCCTGCCCCCTGCCTTGACTGTAATACAGCTGCAAAGAATTTAACCTTTTACAAAGAGCAGCCCCTCAACCCCGCTGGGTGCTGCTCCCGGAGACTCGATGGGGCACAACAAGGGAAGCTGGTGTGGATCAGGGGGATCAAATCTCACTGCACTGAGATCGTGCCCCTCCTTGCCGAGATGGGGCACGGGGCTCCAGTCTCCCCAGGGGGCAGCTCGTGGGGGCAGGGGGCTCAAGTCTCCCCAGGGGCCCTAGTGGCGGGGGGGCGGCACCTGGGGCGCTGAGGGAGGTCCAATCTCCCCCGGGGGCGCTGGTGGGGAGACGGGGCGCCGGGGCTCCAGCTGCTCCGCGGGGCCCGGGGGAGGGGGGGTTACCTGGTGCAACCAGCACCCACTGGTCGGGGCGCGAGTCCGCCGGGCGCCGCCGCCCGCTACCCAGCATGGTCCGGGTCCCCCGCGCTCTTGGCGCTGCCCGTCTCGGCCTCCGCGTCCGAATAACGGCGGGGCCCGGGCGGGCGCGCGGGGCGGGGGAGCCGCGGGCGCCGCGCCCTCCCGCCAGGGCTGCCCCAGGCCCGGCGCGGGCCCGAGAGCCCGGGGGAAGGCGGGGGCCGCGCGGTCTGCGCGCGGGGATCACAGGGGAGTCCAGTCGCTCGCGCGGCAGCCAGGGAACCTCTGGCTGGGGTTTGCCACGCACCCCCCCTACCAGCGCCGCCAAATGGTACGAGCCCGGGGGAGGCGGGGCCTGACACACTGCAGCGCCTCGCGCTGGCTCCCTCTGCTCGGCCCGAGCTTGGCGCGGCGAGGCCGGGCCCCCTCCCCTGAGCCCTGCGCTCGGTGTGGGGTGCTGCCGGGCCCCGCCTTGAGCTGAGGGACGGACTGACTGACTAACCCCTCCCCCCGCTCCGCTCCGCTCACCACACACCCGGCCTTCCCGTCCTACCCGCCAGCCCCAGGGGGGTGGCGTTAAATTCGTCTCGCAGGCTGCCGGTGCCCGCTATTGCAGGGGCGCCAGGCCTGCGGCGGGGCCGCACTGTGCTGCCCACCCACAACCCAAAGACCGTTCCCGCCCCAAAGAGCCGGTCCACACCACTGTTACTCGCATCTGTTAAGGCGGGCATTAAATAGCAGCGCAGCGCACGGTGTTTGCCATTCTAGAAACCCAAACAACCAAACAGCAGCAGGTCAAGACAAGGCCAGGACATGCCAAATGGCTACGTTCATCTGATGAAGTGAGCTGTGGCTCAGGAAAGCTCATGCTCAAATAAATTGGTTAGTCTCTAAGGTGCCACAAGTACTCCTTTTCTTGTTACAGAAAACAATTCCCTGATGTTTGGCTATATATATTTATACCCTTAAAATTATGTTAACCTACGTTCATTTTAATTTTCCTTGATTTTTTTTTTTAACCTAAGGAGGGACAGGGACATAGGAAAAGCCACGGGCCGTATTACGGCATGTGCTGCAAAGCAGAAATCACTGGAAAGTTCTGCTTATAAACTGATGGCCTGATATGGTTCCACAGTTATTCTCTTTAGGACCTTACAAACTACCCACGCTACCGGATTTGCAGAATTCACCAGCAGAGTTTATAAATCCCGCTGTTTGTGTTTGCCGTGATTATAAAATCCACTGGAGCTGGCTGTGTTTGTTATCTCTGCCAGAGCATCTATATCTCAAACAGAATTGGTTACTGTGTTGAAACCTGTCTACAGCGAAAGTTTTTCATTTGGAAAATATTCTCTGTAAATATTGGCAACAATAATAACTTGGGCCTTGATCCTGGAAAAACGTAAGCCGTGCTCAAGAATATCTAAAGAAACCATATATCCAGTTTTACCAAAGCAATCCTGATATTTTGTATAATGTCCTAGGATCCCAGGACCTTCTTTTGGGGCACTTGAAATGTCCTGGTTTTTCATTTCATCAATGAATATGCTCATTTTTTAAAATGTGTTTGTATCAAAGGTAGAATTTGTTCTGTTTACCAGCAACAGTCTAATGGAAAGCGTTCTTTGTGATGCATAGCGTTTGGAGAGAAAAGTTGAATGAGTGTAAACTCTGTCAAGGCTGTTATTTTGCTCAAAGTCAATGTTAACACTTGTTCAATACTTCATGATAAATTTATTCTCAACACTAAATTACTGCAAGAATTTCCTCTGCTCCAAGAAATATGAGCAACTTGAGTCAGAAGCTGGCTGTAGGGGGCACCAGCACACATGGTTAAGAATGTACTTTTGCCTCTTGCATGAGTGTTTCCACCAACCTAAAAGATATAGCCACAAAAGTGTCCGGTTTTTATTCTGAAAATATGGTTACCTTAGCCTTATCTTCAGGATTTCAGGGGATTTCTCAGACCCCTACCATCCTGAGGAGTGCTTTAAAAATGCAATGCCTTTTGGTGGCCCAGACCTCACAGATGCAGCAGCCAAAAAATTACACTGAATAGAACAGATATGCAAACAGGGAAAGATTAAGAATGAGCTCTCAAAACTGGATACTCTCATAAAAAACCAACCTTCCACACAAACTTCCTCGTGGCTGGACTTTACTAAAACTAGACAAGCCATTTATAACACACACTTTGCTTCTCTACAAAAGAAAAAGGACACTAAACTTTCTAAACTACTACATGCCACAAGGGGCCACAGCAATGGTTCCCTCAACCCACCCAGCAATATGTTAACCTGTCCAACTATACTCTCAGCCCAGCAGAAGAAGCTGTCCTATCTCGGGGCCTCTCCTTCTGCCCCTCCACTCCCACGAACATGATACAGTTCTGTGGTGACCTAGAATCCTATTTTCGACGTCTCCGACTCAAGGAATATTTCCAACACTCCTCTGAATAACATACTAATCCACAGAGACCTTCCTACCAACACTACAAAAAGAAGGATTCTAGGTGGACTCCTCCTGAAGGCCGAGACAGCAGACTGGACTTCTACATAGAGTGCTTCCGTCGACGTGCACGGGCTGAAATTGTGGAAAAGCAGCATCACTTGCTCCACAACCTCAGCCGTGCAGAACACCATGCCATCCACAGCCTCAGAAACAACTCTGACATCATAATCAAAAAGGCTGACAAAGGAGGTGCTGTTGTCATCATGAATAGGTCGGACTATGAACAAGAGGCTACTCGGCAGCTCTCCAACATCACTTTCTACAAGCCATTACCCTCTGATCCCACTGAGGGTTACCAAAAGAAACTACACCATCTGCTCAAGAAACTCCCTGAAAAAGCACAAGATCAAATCCGCACAGACACACCCCTGAAACCCCGACCTGGGATATTCTATCTACTACCCAAGATCCATAAACCTGGAAATCCTGGGTGCCCCATCATCTCAGGCATTGGCACCCTGACAGCAGGATTGTCTGGCTATGTAGACTCCCTCCTCAGGCCCTACGCTACCAGCACTCCCAGCTGTCTTCGAGACACCACTAACTTCCTAAGGAAACTACAATCCATCGGTGATCTTCCTGAAAATACCATCCTGGCCACTATGGATGTAGAAGCCCTCTACACCAACATTCCACACAAAGATGGACTACAAGCCGTCAGGAACACTATCCCCGATAATGTCATGGCAAACCTGGTGGCTGAACTTTGTGACTTTGTCCTCACCCATAACTATTTCACATTTGGAGACAATGTATACCTTCAAATCAGCGGCACTGCTATGGGTACCCGCATGGCCCCACAGTATGCCAACATTTTTATGGCTGACTTAGAACAACGCTTCCTCAGCTCTCATCCCCTAACACCCCTACTCTACTTGCGCTATATTGATGACATCTTCATCATCTGGACCCATGGAAAAGAAGCCCTTGAGGAATTCCACCATGATTTCAACAATTTCCATCCCACCATCAACCTCAGCCTGGACCAGTCCACACAAGAGATCTACTTCCTGGACACTACGGTGCTAATAAGCGATGGTCACATAAACACCACCCTATACCAGAAACCTACTGAACGCTATTCCTACCTACATGCCTCAGCTTTCACCCAGACCACACCACACGATCCATTGTCTACAGCCAAGCTCTATGATACAACTGCATTTGCTCCAACCCCTCAGACAGAGACAAACACCTACAAGATCTCTATCAAGCATTCTTACAACTACAATACCCACCTGCTGAAGTAAAGAAACAGATTGACAGAGCCAGAAGAGTACCCAGAAGTCACCTACTACAGGACAGGCCTAATAAAGAAAATAACAGAACGCCACTAGCCGTCACTTTCAGCCCCCAACTAAAACCTCTCCAACGCATTATCAAGGATCTAAAACCTATCCTGAAGGACGACCCATCACTCTCACAAATCTGGGGAGACAGGCCAGTCCTTGCCTACAGACAGCCCCCCAACCTGAAGCAAATACTCACCAGTAACTACATACCACACAACAGAACCACTAACCCAGGAACCTATCCCTGCAACAAAGCCCATTGCCAACTGTGCCCACATATCTATTCAGGGGACACCATCACAGGGCCTAATAACATCAGCCACACTATCAGAGGCTCGTTCACCTGCACATCTACCAATGTGATATATGCCATCATGTGCAAGCAATGCCCCTCTGCCATGTACATTGGTCAAACTGGACAGTCTCTACGTAAAAGAATCAATGAACACAAATCAGATGTCAAGAATTAAAACATTCATAAACCAGTCGGAGAACACTTCAATCTCTCTGATCACGCAATTACAGACATGAAAGTTGCGATATTACAACAGAAAAACTTCAAAACCAGACTCCAGCGAAAGACTGCTGAATTGGAATTCATTTGCAAATTGGATACAATTAACTTAGGCTTGAATAGAGACTGGGAGTGGCTAAGTCATTATGCAAGGTAACCAATTTCCCCTTGCTTTTTCCTCCCCCCCAGACCCCCCCCCCCCCACCCTGTTCCTCAGACATTCTTGTTAAACCCTGGATTTGTGCTGGAAATGGCCCACCTTGATTATCATACACATTGTAAGGAGAGTGATCACTTTAGATAAGCTGTTACCAGCAGGAGAGTGGAGTGGGGGGAGAGAAAATCTTTTGAAGTGAAAAACACCCATTTTTTCATGGTCTGTGTGTATAAAAACATCCTCACTGCATTTTCCACTTTTATGCATCTGATGAAGTGAGCTGTAGCTCATGAAAGCTTATGCTCAAATAAATTAGTTAGTCTCTAAGGTGCCACAAGTATTCCTTTTCTTTTTGCGAATACAGACTAACACGGCTGCTACTCTGAGAACAGATATGGACAATTCTTGAGTTTAATTATTGTCTTTATTCTCATAAAGTAAGTGATGCATTATTATTAGTCATTATTATTAGCAGACAACAGCTTCTTGGACACATTTGGCTATCAATGTAGTCACCTACAGAGTGCTCTCTTGCCTTCAACAATTTTTTTGCCTAAAAATCTGGTAAATAGAACCAGTGACCTTAATTTCTACAAACTGAAAGCCTCATACCCCATATGGCTAGCACACACACACACAAAGAATTTATATCCTGCAAATTCTTGGACAGATAAGCTATGAGAGAAGTATCAAATTTGCTGCTCTTCTGTAATGAGGGATCTATAATAGTGCCAGTCAGTAACCCCATTACAAAAGTCTGTATTATAATTATATTATACTTCAAATTTAGAAAAAAATACATTTTTAAGGCATTTTCCACCCATATGACAGAGAAACTCAGGCCCGTAAGGAGGGAATTAAAGGTTATCTTGTAACTCCTGGTGAATATATATTGTTAAAGCAGATTACAAATTCAAATAAATAATTCTATTAATTTTAAAGGAATGTCTTCCAAAGAAATATGAGCTGGGATGCATTTTCTTCCACATCATAGAATGCTGCTCACTGCGGGTGTTGTCCAAAGTTCCACCCACAAGTTTATTGGTGGCGGACACTTAGTAGCAGCTCTTGAGGG